TATATATATATATGCCCCAGGTAGCATCTGGAAAAACGTCAGAAAAAGTTTAAAGGCATAAACCAAATCGTTTTTTACCCACCGGTGGAACAAAGACTGCTAAGGGGTTAATCATTGAGTTATGCTTTTATTTTGAAGGGGCGAAACGGAAGTGACGTTTGATCACAGAGAGTTTCAGCGGAAGAACGCTGTGGCCCCGGAGCTAACAGTTCGCCTGACAGACGGGACGAACAGCTGGTGTGTTGTGGACCACCTGTGTGTGTGAGCCGTTCTGAACCGAACCGAGCCGAGCCGAGCCGAGCCACATCTTCAGTGGGTTTATTACAGAGAATCCAGGTGTTCCACAGCTGGACCTCAACAGGTTCGTGAGACTGAAGTTCATGCTAATGTCAGCTAACTGATGATAGCAGTCTTATCTTCCTGAAAGTCGTTAAACTCACTGATAAAGTCATTTTCACCAGTGTTTGAGCAGCTTGTTGATGTTTAWGACTTATTTAGAGCGAGGCTAAAGTTAGCATTATGCTAACAAACGAACTGCTCATTACAAAGAAGCAATTTCCGGGTTGTTTGGGTTTTATAGGCTGATTCATAGTCACACATCMTAAACTCTAGTTGTTGTTCAAGCATTTGTCAATGTTTGTTTAGAGCAGATAAACAGGATTTTCCAGTTGGTGTGTTTAAAGTGGTAAACCCCAGTGGGCCTTGAACGCATCACCAGAGTTGAACTAATGWCTTCCTTTGACCTTTTCAAAGGGAGTTATGGCTTTTTGGAGGAAACGGTGGAGCAGAAACCTCCTGGCTGTGTCTCTGTCCGTCTGTGTCCTGCTCCGCTCCGTGGACGTGGACGCACGTCCAGCCAACATGTCCTCCTCCAAAAACAAGAGCCAAGCCGGAAAGGAGGAGAACGAGATCCTGCCCCCGGACCACCTGAACGGGCTGAAGATGGAGAGAGACGGCCACCTGAACAAGGACTTCCACCAGGAGGTGTTTCTGGGGAAAGACATGGAGGAGTTCGACGAGGACTCGGAACCCCGGAGGAACAGGAAGAAGCTGATCGAGATCTTCACCAAGTAAGACACGTTGTTCAGTCTGAGCAGATCTGGACTGGCTGTGTTTTCAAAACTAAAGGTTTCCACAGATCAGTTTATCACAACAAAAAACATCTGGAGGGAAAAAACCTAAACCTGAACATCACACTTAATGTAGGGAGGTGGATAAATTATTAATCCTACACCAATATTAAATCTGACAGCAGATTCCAAAAGAACATGTCAAACCWTRMARAATAACWCCAGAGTCATGTGATGATCTGAAGTCTGAGGGAAGTTATTGATGTGTGTTCAGGTGAAATCAGCTCATGTTTTCTTGCTGCAGTTCACAGCAGAACCAATGGGACCAGTTCACCTTCTTGTTTTCTGTTTTTCATCATAACTTCCTCACTGTTCAAGATATCAGCATGAAATTTTAGGAAAAGATTCACATTCTGGTTTTTGTAGGAAGCATCTTGTATCCTAAAACAGTGGCTCCTGCAGAAATTTTTCGGGGGGCGCCATGGGGGTGGGCCACTGAAAAACCTGGGGTGGCACCAAAACTAAAATCCATAACAGAAAATTTATGATGCGTTTGTAAAAATGACAAATTGAAAACTATGGCAATATAAAGCTATGGATTTACCAACAGATGTTCAATTTGTATTTTCACAGATAAAATTACTGATTTTATGACATTCAGAGAAAAAAACAAGAGTAAGTATTTGTAATGTTGGGGGACCCACAGGCTGGGGGTCTGGGGGTCCTCCCTCAGAAATATTTAAAGAAGTAAATGTCATTTCCTGCATTCTGGTGTATTTTAACAGGTTGTTAAACAGATTTTTACCTACAGGAAAACACTTAATGTGAGTATTTTATAGGTAAAATGAAATAAATTTATTTGTTAAACAAGAGAAACACTGGATGAACTAATGTTTTATGGTAAATGTGGGGGTTTAAATTAATTAAGCTTATTCTCAGGGGGGACATTTTGTCCATCTTTTAAAGGTTGATGGTTTGATCAACCTTTGATTAATCCAGTCAGAATTTAGTAATTTCTCCAAACTGAACAGTTTGAAGAGCTTTCTATAGCAGGTAAGATGTTTACATATTCAGAATTTCACTGATCATCATCAAACTATTCTACAAAAACACTCATGGTTTTAATCTGTGTGAGGACACGCTCCTTAGCAGGAAGTGTTGCAGCATCATAAAAGTGTTTGTTGTTTGTGTGGACTTCACACAGAGCGTTGTGTTGTTGCTCACCAGCAGCAGCAGCTTCTTCTTCCTCCTCTGGGACAGTTTGGGTGAAAGTCGCATCAGAGGATGAACTGAGTGAGACTGAAGGACAAGGAGCAAGCTGTTATTGATCCTTTGACTGGGTAGAAAACTGGATCAGAGCATGTGACCAAAGTGTGTAAACAATGAAACTGAACAAATTATCAGGATGAAAAGATAAAACTTTCAAAAATCTTGAAGTTTTATCTAAAAAATTATATTTAAATATGACTAAATGTTGTAAAAATACACTGTTGTGTTTCTGTTGTCACCTCTTGTTGAACTGATCCAACTGAGT